TTTTGAGGTAGGGTTTTGCTATATTGCCCAGGCTGGCCCCAAAATACTCCTGGGCTCAAGTAAATGATCCTCCTGCCTCAGCCTCCTGAGTACCTGGGCCTATAGGCATTGCTTACCACACCCAGCCACGTACGAGCAGACTTAAAGTAAAGTAAGACATTGTTAAATCACTGGACCCCTAACTACGCACAGTTGTGTGTGATGTGGCCCAACTACCCAGCAAGAGTCTCTTCATCGAAGAGACTACATCTTCCAGATCTGTTCTGTGGCTTATATTGCTGCGTGTACATAGGGACATGGGAAAATATAATTAATCTGTCCGTGGCCGGGAAAAAAAAAAAAAAAAAAAAAAGCAGCACAGGGCCTAGAACTCTTGACATTTAGTCTGCTGCTTTTTGCGTGTACTTTGTGACCCTTGGTGTATAGTAGGGTGTGGAATTTTTGGCCCCTCCATGTAGAAGGACTACTGAGGCACAGGGGAGGAGCACGGGGCGGTGTCCACAGAGTGCTGTTCCCCCGAGTGGTAGAAGCCCTGCACACTTAGATCATCGTAGGGGAGCTGAGACAGTGTGAGATCGGTCCCCATCCACCCTTAACTTGAAAGAGCAGATTAATGCTCATCTTAGCAATGGAAGAGTTTGGTTTTTGTGGTACTGGGGATTAAACTCTGCACCTTGCACATGCTGGGCAAGTGCTCTACCACTGAGCTATATCCCCGGGCTTTTAACTTTTTTTATTTTGAGGTAGGATCTTGCTGAGTTACCCAGGCTGGCCATGAGCTGTGATCTTCCTGCCTCAGCCTCCTGAGTAGCTGGGCTCATAGGTGTGTGCCACCAGGCCCAGCAATGTGAGATTTCTGTGGCCTCGAAAGCATGCACTTTGCCTTCCAGATGCCAGATCTGTGTGCTCTGTCGTTACTTCCTTCCCCCGAAAGCTGCTTCTCCTCTTTGGCATTTACCTTTGTTCTTTCAGTATTGGGAATGGAACCAAGGCCCTTCAAACTGAGCTACATCCCCCAGACCTCTTCTACTTTTTATTTTGAGACAGACTCTTGCTGGCTTGCCCAGGCAGGACTTGAACTTGGGATCCTTCTGCCTCAGCCTCCCAGAGTCCTGCTGCTGGATATTTGGGTTGTTTCCAGTTTGGGGCAGTGGTGATTAGTTTTTATAATCGTTTGTGTAGAAGGTCTTGCTGTGGGCATGTTTTCTTCCTTTTCGAGTAGAACTGCGAGGATATGTGTTCAATGTAGGTTTAACTTTTATAGAAATGGTCAGACTGTGTTCCAAAGTGTGGTTATTGTATTTTATGTTCTGACAGCTATGTTTAAGGGTTTTGGCTTGGCCACAACCTTACCGGTACTTGGGTTGTCTGTCCTTTTGGTGACAGCTATTCTAATGGGTGTGTGGTGGTATCTCGCTGAGGTTTTACGGAGCATTTCCTGTACACTTAAAAGACTTTTTTTTTTGGTTTTTTGAGGCAGGGTCTCACTATGTAGTTGAGACTGACTTGGAACTCACTATGTAGCCCAGGCTGGTCTCGAACTCACAGCAATACTCCTGCCTCAGCCTCCTGAGTGCTGCGATTGCAGGCTTGCCCCACCACACCCGGCAAAAGACCACTTTTAATTATAGAAGACTTCTGTCTTGCGATCATCTGTGAGTTGGTCTCCCCAGCTGACGGTTCCAGAACTGTGCTCCTGAGCAGAATGTATGGTAAATCCTGAGGGTTTGCTGAATGAAAAAGCAAACCGACAACTTAATATGTCTGAATGGCCGGTCCTCACACTTACCTTCGTGACAGAAAACACCAAAACATTGACCCCTGAGATGACAGAAAAATATTTCCCCTGCACAAATCTTTTGCCAATTCCAAGAAGTGACAAACTTGACTACGTTAAATTTTACTCTTTCTTTGCTTTGTCCACACCTCGGGGAGAGGTAACCGGAGAAAAGTGTGAACAGCGCAGGAGGAGGACAGGAGCTCAGTCTCCGCGATGCTGAGCTCACAGTGCAGCCCGGAGAGTGCCCTGGGTTAGTCACGGTGCAGCCCGGGAGTGTGCCGTGGGGTACTTGTCTCCGGCTCCCGTGTGGGGAATTTCTGTCCATGCTGTGACTGCCAGCCGTTCCCTTCCCCGCCTCCTTTCTCTGTCAATCCGAGCAGGGTTATCTGCAACAGTTTGCTGTAACGGGCCAGTAAATACTTCAGGCCCTTAGGGCGAAGAGACAGCATTAAGGACACTATAGGCTTTTATGTGATGAGAAGCAAAACAAATCTCCATGTTTTATTGATGAAATTCAAAACATAATCATGACTGGGTACAATTTTCTGTAGTACCCGACTACTAAAGAGAAAAATGGCGTGCTTTGGGGGAGGGTAGAATTTTGCTTAACAGGAAGCTCCAAGTTAACGGTTGCTGTCACCATGGTGGAAAGGTGGCCTCACATTCCTGTGACGCTTCCCTGAAACACAGCAGACGGGGGAGCAGGTCAAGGCCATAGCTTGGAAAGGACTCCTTGGTTTTTCGTTTTGTTTTGCTTGAGACAGTGTCTTTACATGGTCTAGGCTTGAACTTGTGATCCTCCTGCCTCAGCCTCCAAGAATGCTGGGATTTCAGACCTGTGCCACCACGCCTAGCTCACAGGATTGTTATAAAGATTATAACACAAAGCTCAGGAATGGCACATTGTACATTTTATCCTTCTTTTGATGTATTTCTTTAGCCATTAAAAATAGAAAACCAGGGCTGGGGATTTAGCTCAGTGGTTCCGCCGCCTGCCTTCCAAGCTCAAGGTCCCCCAAGTTCAATTCCCGGTGCCAATAAGAAAAAGTAAAACCATTCCAAACTCATAGGCGGGACAGACATGGGGGCTGGCCGACTGTGGCCTTGCAGATACAGTCTGTGGACCCCACATTAACGCACACACTGCAATCATTGCCACTTAGAAACAATGATCGTTTAGTCCCCTAATTGCAAAGCACCATATGCTCACCTCGGGGGACTTGGAAAACAGAAAAGCACAATAAAACAAGTTATTCAGAATCTCCGCCACCTACAGATGACTCATCATCTACCCTTCGCTCTGTACCTACTCCCGCCTATTGTCTGTGTACATAATACACATGCATTTTCTTTTCTTTTTTCTTTGGTACCCGGGATAGAACTCAGGACCTTGCTCTTGCAAGGCAGGTGGAGGCACCATTGAGCTAAATCCCCGGCCCCACGTGCATTTTCATTTCTTCGTCTTGTTATGCTCCAGGCTGGCCTTGAACTCGTCAGGAAGCCAGGCTTCCTTCCACCTCATAATCCTCCTGCCTCAGCCTCCCAGAGTGCTGGAAATTACAGATGTGTGCCACACCAGTACCACTTTTTAAGACAAAACCCAAGCCCACTCTATGAATATAGTTTGGTATCTATTTCACTTGTTTGTATATAATATTGTTGTTAATATTCCTATATTTTAATGAATGCATCTATTCCATTGTACAAATGCATTAAAATATACCAAAGTTGGTTTACATATTTTGCCATTAGACTTAGCTACATGCTACTGCATACTTTTTTTTTTTTTTTTTGAGACAGCATCTCATCATATAGTTCAGATTGACCTTGAACTCACTATGCAGCCAAGGCTGGCCTCAAACTCCCAGCGATCCTCCTGCCTCAGCCTCTCAAGTGCTGGGATTACAGGTGGGCACCACGCCTAGCTACATTTATAGTAATTGTTGGTGTCTTTAAAATTATTTTATGCTATTTTTCATTTCACCTACTTTCTTTTTCTCATTTCCTGAGTCCTACTGAATTAGGTTTCATCCGTCCTCCCCACTGATTTTCTTAACTTTAAATGTTTCATATCTGTTCTTAAAGAGCAGTCTCAAATTAACTATCACGCCCCACCCCAGTTCATTTTGTTTTTATTTAATATTTTAACTTTTCTCTTTTGTGTATTTTGTTGGACTCTTGTATTTTAATTACTGTCATTTTTGTTGTTTTGTACAACCCAACATGAGTGTGTGTGTCTTTCATATTGTCTTTGCTAATCAGTCTTCTGTGTACGAGTTTTATTTTTTTAGAAATATATCTTTTAGTGCATTTTTTAGCAAAGGCTTATGAATGGTAGAACTCTTGGTCCTAGTTTGCAAACATCTTTTTTTTGCCTTCACCTTTTCACTGTCTTTTAGCTAGGTGTCGAATCTTCTCTGAGCCTCCAAAAACATCATTTAATTTGTCTTTTTTTGTTTTGTTTTTTTGAGACAGGGTCTCACTATGTAGTTGAGGCTGACCTGGAACTTGCTATGTAGCCCAGGCGGGTCTCGAATTCACAGGATCCTCCTGCCTCAGCCTCCCAAGTGCTGGGATTACAGGTGTGCACCACCACGCCCGGCTCATTTAATTTGTCTTGTGATCAGTCTTCTCTTTCATGTCTCTCTGGCTTTCTTTAAAGTTTCTTGTTGTCTTTGGTGTTCTGTAGTCTCACTGCAGTGTGTATGGCTTTATATTTGCATGTTTTGCTCAGAAGCTGGGATTCTTTACCCGGAGGGTTAATGGTCTTCACGATTCTGAAAAATTCCCAAGTGTTATCTTTAAAATATTGCTTCTGAGCCAGTTATGGTGGCACAAGCCTGTAATCTTAGCATTCTGGGAGGCTGAGGCAGGAGGAGCACAAGCCCAGCCTCAGCAACTCAGTGACTTAGTAAGACCCTGCTTTTGTTTGATTGTTTGTTTGTTTGTTTTTTAAGTGCTTCTTCGTGACAGCCATAAAACTGTGCAGCTCAGTCTCCTGCTGCGGGAAACAAGAGTTGACTGACAGCCCCAGATGCCGTATCTCATGATTCAGTCAGAAAGTCCAAGTCCCTTGGCTGAGTATGGCTGAGTATGACAGCGTGACAGTGTCTATCAGTTCCTGAAGGAAGCAGGATTCCTTCCCTAAGGGACTTTGTGTCAAAGAGTCTCCATCAGCGAGGCCAAAAGTTTCCTTTTCTTGTTTCTTTTGCAGCACTGAGGACAGAACGCAAGGACCTGTGCGTGCCGGGCATGCGCTCTCCACGGAGCTACATCCGGGGCACCCAGTTCTTCCAGCTGCGTTTCCGTTTCCGTTTCCGTTTCCGGGAGCCTCTTCCCGCGGAGGCGCCTTTTTTTCTCTTGACTGCGTCGTTGCAGCCTGGGTTGAAGGCCGTCCCCTCTGCTTCCTCTCGCTCTTCTTCCGTAAGTGTTTTCCCAGTGCCCTCTCGGCATCTGCTTCTTGGCATCTTCACCGTCTGTGCTTTTAACTATTTTCTCATCTTTTAAAATATTTTATTTTTATCTCTTGTCTGTTCTTTCACTCCTTTTATCTGCCTGATGCCCTTTGGGTAATTTCTCAAGCTCTATCTTCCATTTTCTTAATTTTTTCTTCACTTTTGTCGCATCTGCTATTTACCTTCCCTTTTGACTTTGCAGTAGTTTCTCTTTTCAGACTTAAATTTTATTATCCCCGAGTTCCTCAAGAATCTTGTTTGTTGTGCTTGCTTTCTGTTTTCACTATATTATAATTTTTAATTTTCTTCTTAACTGACCTTAGGAGGAGGAAGAGGAGAAGGGGGACTTTTACCTGTGGGAGCCTGATGGTAGGGCCCTGCGGAACAATTTCCACTGCTTCATCTAGAGATCCTAGGCATGTGGCTCGCCTGGAGCCAGTGTTCTTGCTAATTTCTTAGTGTGTAGCCTCCTGGGTGCCCCTGCTTAAGGCTCAGATTTGGGATATCTGTTTCTCAGGGAAGAGTTTTTGCTGTTGTTTGTCCACTTCCTGTCCAGGGACACAAAATTTTTTGTTTTGTTTTTTGGTACCGGAGATCGAACTCGGGTCCTTGCGCTTGCGAGGCAGGCAGTGGAACCACTGAGCTAAATCCTTGGCCCTTCAGGGACGCAAAATTGTTGTCAGTTCCAGGACAGAAGTTTTTCCCTTTTCTCTTTGTTTTCACCGAAGAAGTAGCCCTTAGGGGATTCTGATTTGATTCTTACTGCGTTTTAGTTCCTAATATCTACTTTAGGGTGGCCTAAAGTTTCATCTCCTTTGTCTACTTGGATTTTAAAATGCGAATCTGTAAATTACTTAAAGCAGTCTCAGAAATAGCACACCAACTTTCACTCTGTTTTCCCCTTTTTTCTTCAGGCTATATTTTACCCAGTATTTCGAAGTTTTTTTTTTTTTTTTTTTTTTTTTTGGGTACTGAGGATTGAACTCAGGTCCATTGTGCTTTCGAGGCAGGCAGTGGAGCCACTGAGGTAAATCCCCGGCCCTTTACCCAATGTTCTTAAGTGTTTATAGAGATTTGGTGGTGTTGTTCGCCACCATATTGCCAGACTGAGTCCCATTTACCATGTTGAGTTCTGGGCTTCATGGCTGTTGGTGGACCAGTTTGTTCTGAGCAGTGTCCTTAGTAAACCCCATAACTCACCCATTATTTTAGAAAAGCAAACTGGGAGAACCTGTTGACACTGCAGATACATAACATTTCCTTGAGGGGGTTGAAAGAAAGTTGACTTTATTTTCTAATCCATGGTAACTTCTTCGATAAATCCAGGTGGCTCTGTAGGATTGTTCAAATGGTTGTTTAGAAAGCAAATGAACAACAACAAAAAAAATTGTTTTATCATTATTCTTCTTCTAGTGCTCAGGCCTGGTAGCAGCTCTTCTGTTTTTTCTCCCTATTCTTCTTAACTTGTCCCTTGTCAACAAGGCAGAAAAGAGAGGTTGAAGTGATGCCTGAGTGTACTCCACTGTGCTCTGCTAAAAAGGTGAACTTCCACAGAGCGATTTATTACTTGTGGCAGGTATTCTTCACCCAGCATTGCCTGTGATTTATTGGTTTTGTGTTCCTCGCCTGTCAACCTCTTGGTTTGCCAGTGGTTGGTGAGAGGTGGCTAAGCAATGCAAGATGACAAAAGGCTGTCCTTGCACTGGTTCTCCCTCACTCGTGTTCAAGGGTTCAGAACTCTGCTGTTCCCTACCTTCAGCTGTGGGTAGGAAAGAGCAAATTCCACTGGTGTTTCCAATTTCTCAAGTGAAACTCAAATATATTCTATAAGTTTGGAAACTGCTTCTAGAATCTTCCTACTTGAATCGAATGGATAATAGGCCCTGCCGCGTTGGGGCAGTGCCCGCCCACGTCTGGTTTGTGTTAGATGAAAGCTACTGAGCTAATAAAATAGGGACTCTCCTTTCACTCGATGGGACTACACACTTATCACGCGGGACGGGCCTTTCCTGTTTTCCTCCGGACCCATTCCATTGTGTTGGAGAAGGATAAAGTGAAATTTTCCAGTTACTGTGGTGCTGCTTTCAGAGTCAGGATCAGTGTCTTTTATTTTTATTTTCCCATTAAGTTTATTGGTACATTGAAAGCAAACAATACAGTTACATTTATCATTGGGATCTTGTACCTTTACATGATAGGATCAGTGTCTTTGAGCCTCAGTGATACCCAGAGTTTGAAGAGATCATTATAAAATCTTAGAACCGGTATAGATCTTAGACTCTTTACTCCGGTGTTGTAAATTTATAAAGACCGAGGTGCTTGTGGCCTGCTCAGGATCACAGAGCTAGTCAGTCCCACAGCCAGCATTACAACCAGCTCTGTCCACCTCCTGCGCCTCACAGAGGGTTCGGCTGTTTCTCTCCTGGGCTGCAAATGTTCTCTTTTCCTTCTCTTTTCTTCCCCTCTCTCCTTTCTTCTCTTCTTTCTTTCCTTTTTTTTTTTTTTTTTTTTGGTACTGGGGATCAAACCCAGGGCCTTCCTACTGAGCTACATCCTTAACTCTTTCTAATTTTTTTTTCCCACTAAGTTACAGTGTCGCCCAGGTTAGCCGTGAAATTGTGATCCTCCTGCTTCAGGGGACGTGTGAGTGAGCTCCAGGCCCGGATGGTTCACACATCCTACTTGCTTTTACGACATGCCTCAAATTTAAAGAAAACTGTGCTGTTGGTTGCATTTTCATCTGCCTGGGCCTTTGACCAGGAAATGAGTTCTGTTTATGATGGGAGGTATGGACTTAGCTGTGGTTTAGCTTTTTCTTTTCTTTTTTTCTGTTATGTGGTTAAGGGTAGAGTGACCTAGACAAGAGCACCACATAGTAGATACTTTCCAAGTATATTTCTTTTGCTAGGAAAAGAATACTGCTTTCATGAAAATGAGATAGAGTCAGAGAAATTATTTACTCAAACTAATGATATTCATAATCGGTTCATTTTTAAAACAAGACTGCAATCTTTAGTTTGAATACTAAATAATTAATAGGCAAATATATAGGTTGTGTTCATGCATTATTGCATATATAATAATATACTGATGATCTTTAACATTTGTGTATTTTAAAGCCCCAAGCATCCTTTAGTACTTCAGACTCTTCAGACTTCATGAAAAATAATTTTTTTGTACTGGTTATCAAGCCCAGGGACATTTTACCACCGAGCTACATTTTTTAAAAAAAATTTTGAGACTGCTCTTTTTATTTTTTGTTTTTGAGACAGGATCTTGCTAAATTGCTCAGGCTGGCCTCTAACTTGAGATCTTCCTGCCTCGGCCACCCTGAGTGGCTGGGATTATAGGTGTGCACCAGTGTGCCTGGCTCAGACTTCTAAATACTTTGCTGTAGCTAAAGAAGGATGAATGCCAATTGCATTTCTCTCTATCTCCGATTGGCAGGCAAAAGGAATTAAAAGCTTAACATTTTCAGTTGTTTGTTTGTTTGTTTTTTAATTATTGCTTTGCAGCACAGATCGGTCTCTTAATTGAATTCATGTGATATATTTTCATAGTATGCATTTGTGGTAACACTGATTCAGCTTTCCTTGAGCCACATCTACCCGTTCTTACAAGGGAAGCCAGATGTTGATTTTATGCTGTAATTGTTTTGTATTTCACATAGTACAGCGGTCCAAATGAGCAAACTCAGTTTCCCAAAAGTCCTTAACGTAGGGTCAAGAATCATTCCAGATACCTGCGGAGCTGCAGGGTATAACTATAGTGGTAAAAGCGGAGCACTATTTCACATGCTCACATGCGCAGAGATGTACAGACCTGTGTTATATTCGTTGGCTTCCCAGTGCTCCTTGGTAGCTTGATTATTAATCTAGCGGAGATGTAAGATCCTTTGAGCTTCTAACATAATAGTTATTCATAAAGGCATTTAGGCTGATGGCTTTCTCAGAACGTCCTGCTGTTAGTGATGGACTTCATCTATATTTCAACGAATTTCTAAATGGGGGAAACAGAACATTTTTCCTTTGATTAATTCATTGGTTTTTCAGTCCTCAAGGACTCGTAGGCTGGTGAACTCCAAAAGGAAGTCAGAAAAGGAAGGATGGTGAATTGGAATGGTGACCATAGAGCTAGCCCCATAAAAATTTTTGAACATTGTCCTAAATTCAACCTCTGAAACAGTAGACCAGGTGAAGATTTATGAAAGCTCATTTAAAAGCTCATTTAAGGCTGCACAAAAGAAGCACAGCGTTATGAGTTTAATAAAGTTCTTAGGCTGTTTGGGGCCATTATTTTATAATTCTCTGGCTTTTAAATTGTTTTGCTGAACATTCAAGTACTTGGGCCCAGGAGTGGTAGCGCATGCTTGTAATCCCAGCGTGCGGGAGGCTGAGGCAGGAGGATCGCTGCAAGTTCAAGGCCAGCTTGGGCTACACAGTGAGTTCAAGGCCAGCCTAAACTATACAGTGAGAGCCTGTTTAAAAAAAAAAAAGGATCAAGTTCTTCAACTACTGAATTACTGCTAATTAGATCACAGAGGTGTGCTTTGAATTTTGAGTCCATTTACTATAATATTGAGTCCTTTTTTTTTTTGGTACTGGGGATTGAACTCAAGACCTTGCACTTGTGAGGCAGGTGCAGTGCCATTGCGCTAAATTCCCAGCTCACTATGACTTTTTTTTTTCTTTGTGGTGCTAAGGGTGGAACCCAGGCAAGTGCTCTACCAGTGAGTTGCGTCCCCAGCTTTACAAGCCTTGAGGAAAGCCTGTGCCATGACAGTAGTGCCAGTGTGAAAACACATAGGCGTCTGGTTGAAAGACATAAGGGCTTTTTAAATGAATCGTGTGATTTGACCGCCAGTGTTGGGTTAACACCCAATTTGGGTGTTGAATGTCCAGCAAGTAGCAAAATCAGCCTTATGTTGTAAGTTCTTCATAGAAGACAGTTGGCTGTTTGTCCCTGCGA